ACTACAGTGGGACAGTAAGTTTGGTTATGAATTATCCTCCTGTCTAGAGGAAGGCAAACCTGTGCTCAGGGAGAAATTACTCTCAGCCAAGTGAAATTTAAGTACCATTAGATCCCATTTGAAAATGCTCTTTATACATAAAAAACTAACATAATGGAAAGAAAAAGTCTTGGTGGGAAGATATATTGTCTACTAGTGTGCATTAATATCAGAAGCCTATCCCCCTATCTTCCCACATTTTTGTTCCACTACATAATAAAACCAGCCAATGACCTGCTTGAGAAATGAAGTATCAACCAGATGTTTCCTGAGCAAAGACAACTTGTGTTTCCCTTTACACATCATCTTCTGAGAGGCAGCACTACAGTGATTGCGTATCTGACACCACTCACTATGTTGACTTTGGGTTACCCAGAATCTTTCCTTTACTTTACCTTCCAACTCAAATACAATACTTTTACAGAGAGATCACATGGAAAGACCAGATTTGAATGACTAGAACACCATGTGGAAGCATGGTTTATATTCACTTTCTTATAACATCACTCCTCATGGAAACAGGGGATGGGTGACCAGCCATCCCCCAAAAGAACCACTTCTTTATGTGAAGAACAACATGCAAAAATATGGTTTTGTAAGAGCTACTAATTTTAAAACAAAAGTCCTAGTAATTTTAAAACAAAAGTTCTACATGAGAATAGATCCAAAGCTCATTATGGTTTATGGAAAGTCTGATTATTGTGCTTTGGATCAGATGCCTGTTTATTGCCAGAAACTACAACATTTTTCTAGTTCTATTTGGCTACTAGGAAAACTTCATTAGTCCCCATTAATCTGTAGTGTGACACTTACTGATCTGTTAATGGGGGTGGGAATATAGAAGATGAGAGGCTCAATCATAATCTAACAGAAATGCTTCATTCTTTTTATTCAAATAACCCTATGTTTACAACAGACCACTCTAAAAGAACAAACCTTGCACTCCATTTTCAGGCAAGTTGGTGGAAATAAAAAGCTAACTTTCAGGTGCCACATTAACAAACAGCATGGGAAGCGGGGTTTCATTTTTTTAAACCCTGTGCACTAGAACTCATAATGCGTAATGACTTACAACTTTCACAGCAGGTTTCTGTTCAGGCTATCCAGAAAAGTTCACATGATGCATGTACAGTTTTTACAAGATCAATATTTAATCAGTCATTAATAAAGCTCTAAAATGCTTTATGAATGTCTTTACATCCAAAGATTGAAAAATACCAGCACTTTCTTTCTGGTTGTAATCTTCCATTTAGACAAGAAGCCACATCACACAAAGCTAGAACTGCTTTTGCTTCCCTAATAATACAAGATAGGTGTAGTAACACACACTTACATGAACTGCAGTGTCACTGCACACTTATGTCACTATGAAAGCCCATGGGAACCTAAATTTAACAGAAGATCTGATGTTGCATTCATCTCACATCATTGGTTAGTTGCTTGTAAATAGAGGAAAAGCAGTTTCAGTAGCTACTGTTTAATCAAATATGTTTTAATTTGGAAAGTTGTGTACAGTACAAGAAACTGCCTGTGCAATGGTTTTAATAAGGATATGTAAGCAAAGGCCATGTATTCTGTACTCTCAGTGTGGGGTCTGTAGGAAATCAAGATTTCAGCAAGACTGACAATGGAGCCATTCAGCCTCTTGAATGCCCAGTCTTACTGTTTCAGCCCACTGCAGACAAATGTATACTATGACTTGATGACAAATAACTATAATGACAAAGATGCAATCACGAATTTATGAATATAAAATGCTTTCACTCTTTCTCCTGCTTTCATTTCATTAAAGACTAAACAAAATTACAGATTGGTTGGAGAAAAAGGATGAAAAAAAATTACTTGATCTGTACATCATTCATCTCCGTGCACACACTCAGCTCACTAGGTACACATTTCTTGTTAACCTACAAAAAAACTCTATGTTTTGAGGTCGGTTTACAATTACAGATAGGTTTTGTACTACTGTGGCACAGACATCAGTTTTGTTCAGAAGCAACTGGAAATCAATTAGTTCACATCATTGTTCCACGAAGATTCATCCTCAGCTACTGCCCTTTTTAAATTCCATTCTATCAAGTCTAGAATAGTTTGGCTTGCTTTTCTGTCTTCTTTTTGAACAACTTACCTAGTCCCGCCTTTGCTGCTTTGCTTCAGGACATAACTTGTATCCACATCCTGTTGTTCAAAAGCAACTCTAGTGTTCTTGTGATTGCTTATGACATTTCAACTCCTACATGCTTAGCACACTACTAAAAAGCTTTCTGCATTCTCAAGGCAATTTTTTTAAAAACTGCCAAAAAAAAAAATGTGAGAATTTATATACTCAGGTAAAACACCATCATATTCTTGGTATGATGGAGATAATTCATTTTCGGTACACATAAATAAAAATTTGGCTCCAGTTCCAGTAAGCGCATGTCTACAAAATTTATGGACAATTAAAGTGAATTATGCTTCAGAACTCTTCTCTCTCCATGTCTGTTCTTCATCTGCTGGGGAAAAAAAAAAGTGACAGCTAAATTTAAAATGGGTTGAAAGTTGTCTAGCACTGTAATATTCAATTCAGCAATGGTCTCCAAGTCAAAAGACACTTGAAAAATACCTAAACTGCTGGCAGCAAGCTCTTCAGAACACATGGCATCCTACTTAATTCTCATGAATCCAAGTTATTCTTTCAAAAGCCTTTAAACACAAAGCAGCCCATGATATCAGCCTGTCATTTGTGACCTGCCCAGCATGGTCACTCTTAAACATGAGAGACAGAACAAGAGCACTGCATAGACAGAATAAAGATTTATTGGAAACAAATATTTACACAAAGTATAAAGGCAATCACTTCAACCATTTCTTTTTTAACAAGACAAAGCTACCCCATTACAAGATCTGTTCAGTAACAGGATTAGTTTTAGTAACGATGCAGAATATTTTTAATCCCTGAGACTGAAGCCCTCTCATCTTCTATGCACTCCATTCCCCTCCAAGCCCCCTGCAAAGCTGCTGGAAATTTAATTTCCTGCTCAGTTGTGCTTTCAGTGGATTACCATCCAAAGTTACAGTTTCATTCTTCAAATCAGCATGAAATTTAAAAATGCAAGCAAGCCCAAGTTTAACATCAAGTTCATTCACATTCAGTTGTAGGCATCCAGTTTAAAATTACTTCCCATTTCAAGTTGGTATCCAGGCTGCTTTATAGATAAGGCTACCGACTCTGAAGATAGAACTTGTTCCCCTTAAATGAGTCATAGAAGCCAACTTTTTTTTCTAGCTGGGCACAGCCAATGGTTTTCATACAGGAGTATTCAGATGTGAATGCAAGGCTTTAGACACAAGTCCTTTTATATCTAGACTTAAAGCCATCACAAGGAAGCTTAATTAGCACAGAGCTCCAGTTCCTACTGCAGACTTCTAGTAATTTACCTATATGCCCTCAGCATTTTTTAGGTTTATAGCAGGTAGACAGTTTAAGAATGACAAACGTGGGCAGCAAAAGTGTTCCCTCCCAAGCAATGTAAGTTCCATTATTCCATTTCAGTAGGAAGTCACCCTGCAAGGCCACAAAGGCAGATCCAGGCATAACACATGCCGAGAATTTTCAGTCCAAGTTCAGATATTTTTCCTAGCAAGATCGTTGTCTCTTGTCTGAGGATATAATATTTCAATCAACAGAACTCCTCAGCTGACACATGACGATCAGCATAAGCAAACCATGGGGGACAAGGCTAAACTTAAGTACTTTGAAAAGGATGCCGCTGATGTTGGTGTCACCTTGTCAGTGGCTAGCTCTTCACTTGGACATGGAAACAAAAGATCTAATAAAATTCAAGGCATAAACCAACTAAAATAAAATTATTTCCAATATTAGAGGTAGATTTTATCCAGTGTAATATATAATAGCCAATCCTGTAAGTGCAGAGCTCTAGGAATTAAACAATTAAGATCAACTTTGACCTATGTGCTCTTAGAATAATTACGGCAAGCTTTTTGCATATCCTTCAAGAAAGTAGGCACACCACTCTGTAAAGAGAAAAGTAGAAAAATAAAAATCATTCTTGCATAATGTAATCAAGAATGTATAAGCAAGATGAGAATTTCCAGTATATAGATCAAGCCCTTCAAACAAATACAGGACAATTCTAAGATCTGGTACAAAGCAGCAGATCATTCCCTTAATACTTCAAGAACAGACCGCATTATTGAAGTTTGCTTGTGTTAAGGCTATTCACATACACTCTGGAACGTGGATTTGTTGGTTTTGTTGCAGAAATTTACCTGCTTGGTTGATTAACCAAAGGAATCTGATAGGAATTTAAAAAAATAATATTAAGACAACTGCCATGAGAACAGACAATGGCAAGACTCTAAAAATGGGACTGCATAAGAGCTAGAAAAGTCAATACATAGAAGACAGGTATAGATGCAGCGAATATATTGGTTGAAACAGAATAGCCAAAGACAATTGTGCTGTCAACCTTTACTTACCTTGGCAGCCCAATTGACCAGCCAGGATGGAATCATGCCACCAGGATTATCAAAATAGTACATATAGACTAGAGATGAGAGAGAAGTCACCAGAAAGTTATCCAGCCATAGTCTGAGTATTAGCTCTAACACCACATGATAGAAGCTGTCAGCGGGCACGGCTGAAGCACCAAGTACAACAGTTCTACTTGAAATCCTTCACAAAAAAGTCAACTTGTACTGAATTGGAATGTGAAGTAAGTATAGCCATTCCCAGTTAACCTCTAGGAAGCTGAGTGCACTGTAATAGTAATTTAGACTATTGCAAACCATTTTAGGCCCAACTAACAAGCCCAACTGTTACATAAAAGATTCTTAACAGTAGCACACTGCACTGGATGTTTCCAAAAGTTTCATTCACTTTAAAGTATTCCTAGCGCTCAGTACATCCACTTTATAGTAACTGTTTTTAGCTTAAAATCTCCAGTCTCCCTGGAATTTGTGCATTTTGCTAAGACATACATTCTTTGGCTACATGACTTGTGATCACACTTTCTTGACCTCTTACCTTTAGATCCAGTCTTGCCATCACTTTCAATTGCCAGACTTTGTTTATAGCTTTTAACTCTGATAACACCAGGCTTTTCAGGGCACTGAGGAACAGACACACTTTGAGCTAACACAACCCAGATCTTCCGCCCATCAACATCCATCTCTCGACATTCACGAATATAGACATACTGTATCCTAAGTTGAGGAGGCATGTCAAAACACTGTCAGTTTGACATATGATGAATTGACAAGTGAATTCCATTAAAAATACCAGCCCCTTCAAGTTATTTCTTATGCTTCTACAGGATTCAGTCCTGCAGAATAATAATTCAGCTACATGAGCTTTAGTTGTGTGTGGGAAGAGGCACCCACACTCTTCTTCATGCTATACATATTCATGCAACATGAGGACTGCAAGATCTCAGATCAAGTGCAGCAGAGCATTAGCATCAATACATGGGATCCCTGGATGACCAGGTGACGAAAACTGCAAGAAGAACAAAAAGCTTGAAAGGATACATCTCTGTTTGAGAGAGGAAAAGGGTATTTCACTTCCCAGTAGATTACGTTTTCACCATCATATGTTTTCTCATACAGTTCTGCAGTTGAAAGAGGAAGACTGTTAGATATTTTTAGTTTCTACTGCAACAGAACCATACGTGGCATCAAGAACTGCTCAGATTTCTGAGACGAACACATTTTACACGCAACTCGTCAAAATTGGTATGCATGTAAATTTGTAGCAGTAGAAGACATTAAAAAAAGTTCTGTAGCAGGTTTGTTCAGGAACCAAATACACAAAAATAGGTGGTCTGGTTTTCTGCTGCTATTGAATTCATTGATTAAAAAAACAAACAAAAAAACCAAAACAAACAAACAAAAACAAAACAACAAAAAAAACCCACAACAAAACCCCCCCAAAATCAGAACAGTTCTGGAGGGAGGCAGAGTCAAATTCCTTTTCAGACAGTTAGCTCATTCAAAGCCTTTCCATCTCAAAGCTTTTTCCTCGCCTATGCATATTCGGTATAATTCTAAGCCACAAGTACAGTATGCTTTTTCACAAGCATGTCATTATCCTTGTAAATGATTCTGAGTTAACAAAGAAAGCAGTACTCATCCTAGTTCCAATATCTGAAGAGGTGTTACACGAGGGATTAATGAGGTTTGGAAAAGCTATTAGGAATTACACGGCAGTATATACAGGCAATGGTGAACAAGAAGTTTATGAACCTTCATTACACCACCTTCAGTCTGCCTGGAAACTCAATCAGAAGGCAGCTAAATAGGGGGAAAAAAAAATAATCTAAGAATAGTCCCCAAAACACAGCAGTGATTCAGATAGTAGCATGGCACGAAGGAGAAAAATTAGTTCAAATCAAACTACATAACTGAGTTTGAAAAACTGTCTACTGTACAGTTTCTTCCCTTGAGACAATAACCCTGCCATTATCAGGGTAATGGGCCTGACAAGCATGGGGCTGAGCTAGGCTAAATTCCTGTCTGCTCATGGACCGGTCATTACATGGGTGCAGTTAAAAAGGGTGCAATCCAGAAAGGTGGTTCGCATTAACAGTCAGAGTGGTCTTTTCCTCCTTTAGAGCAGACCTCTGCCAGAGGTGCTATACATCCTTCAGAGCTAATGCATACAGTCTGCCACATCACTTTCAGTGGTTTTGAAAATAAGGCTAGACCAGACTGATAATCTCATTGCTAAGGCAACAAGAGTGCCACAGATGGGAGATTTTTTTCCCTATATAACATGTTCCAAACTAGGCTTCTGTTTGTATGCCCAGCAAGTCAGCTGTCACCCACGAAAACAGCTTCTGCTCTTCTCCAGGCTGGAGCAGTATCCGACACACCATGCTCCCAGTGCTGTAATAAGCTACACCATTATGCTATCCACCAGAGGTCACTGGAGCATTGGTTTATCGGCTTTACTTTCCAACTGCACAGCTTTCCTTTTTCAAAGGGTTTAAGACACTATTTTGAAGACCTTGATGCAATTGTTAGCTACTAATTCATCTACCTTTGTATCTTTGCAAAAACAGAAAAAAACCACACAATAGGTAAGTCACTTCCCACCTGTATTCATTTTAATCTGTCAATACTAGTGGACAGCTTCTGATCAAAGCAGAATACAGTGCATTTTAATCAATAACTAGATTTCACTTAGTATTACTACAACAGATCCCAAGTCCATTTTATTCATAATAGGCACAGCTGCATTTGCTGCTTTAGCAGTCAATTACTACTGTTAAATTGTTGGGAAGTATGACCTCAATCAGGACGGTGTTGCAATCAGGAGTAGCAAGTTTGCTCAGGCCCAACCATGGCACAGAAGCATACGGCAGCTCAGTCGCTACTCTACAGTTTAGTCACAGCTTCCCTGATGAATTGGCAGCTGCAGCACAGACCAGGCCTCAGGATGGCCACATCTTGTAGATATCCAGGAGCCTACTTTGGAAATAGCCAGGGTACCAACAGCAATGCAAAACAGTAGCAGATCGATACAAAATTTCTGAGGCCTCAGGCCTTGGCAAGAAGAGATCAAAGCACGACCCTCTGAAGTACTCACAAGAATCCTGTCCATATCTGCCTCCAGTCAGGCCTTCATAAAGAGTTTTGCTGAACAGAACTAGAGGATAGAGATTAGCTCCTCTTATGCTTAGTGCAGGAGCAGTTACCTTTTCAACTAAAAAGGCAGCTGCTTCTACTCTGGTCATGTTTTTACTTCAATGCCAGCCAGCAGTTCAGCAGAGAACTCTTCTTTGGACTGCCATTATTGCACAGCTGCAAGAGCAACAAGGAATACAAACAGTTAAACAAAGAGCAAGAAGGCTCTGAATGGAAGTTTTCTGGTTTTCTCCCTAAATGTGAAAGGAGAAAAAACAAGCTTATATTGTTTACACTGAAAATGTTGGCTAGCACTATTTCATCATATGTACAGTTCTAAAGAATGGCTGGGCTTGTGTCAATTTTTAAGCTAAAAGGAAAGCGTTAACATCATGTTTATGCCCTTCAAGAGTTAACTTATGTGAAATGCTGGATTTGAAGTACCAGCACAAGTATAAATTCACAGATGACGATACCATGGTCAGCAAGGATATAAATGCCAGCTCTACAACATTATCTAGTTTTTAGTTTAAGGGTGTAGCTTCCCCCAACTGCTTCCTTTCTTTTCTCTAAGAAGGTATTACCAAAAAAAAAAAGTTTGTTTAAGAAGGATTCAGTCCTTCTAAATGCACTTCAAGACTATTGAAGTAACTCAAGATAATATAGTATTTTTACATCCAATATGATAACGTTGAGTCCCATTCCAGCTTTTTGTTTCATTAATGGCAAAGCGGCCTTTGCTACAAGCAAGCTGTTGCCCATTTTGACAAGTAACAATTACTAATGAAGACACAACTTCCTAAGCTTGACCAAGTACTGACCCCAAGTCAAATATGTGGTTCTCTGTATCAATATAGCCAAAGGCATTACCAGTAATCGTTCACCATAGAGCTGTCCTAGACTTATCAAGCACAACATTTAACAATTCTTTGTGTTTTAACACTGTTCTTTGTTCAGCAAAACACTTTCACCATGTTTCAGTTTTATTGGCCTGAACTGATTTCAAGCACAGGCTTAAAAGGGAAAGGCTCCCCATCTTTAAAATAAATGGATTACTGGATGCTTACATCAGCTGAATCCTTGCCTTGTCACTTCTGACTTAAGATGTTTTAACATCCTATGGATATCCAGGTTCAACTCCCGTTTTCAAAGACAACATTAAACAAACACAACTAAATTAGTTATTCCTTTCTCTGCAAAAGCCTGAAGTCACCAACTTGATACACCCATTTCTGGTTGTAAAAGGTGCCAAAAATAACCAATGCTTTCAGGAAAAGACATTCCATCATGCATCAAACTGGTGCAAGCCAGAGGAAAATTTTTGAGAAGAATAATCAGTCGTTGGAATAATCTCCCCAGGGAAGTGGTGGATTCCCCAACATTGGACACTTTTAAGATTTGGCTAGACAGGGTGCTGGGCCATTGTCTAGATCATGCTTTTGCCAAGAAAGGTTGGACCAGACAATCCCTGAGGTGCCTTCCAACCTGATATTCTATGATTCTATGATTGCACTGCTCCACTGCAATATGCAAAGATGCACAAAAGGTACCATCTCCATTTCTCCCCAGAACATCTACTAAAATTTAACCTAGGAATTACAACATCTAGAAGCTACAAGGTGCTCCAGCATAACAAGTGATGCCAATTATATGCTTTAACCAACATGGAAATAATTCATTCCAGAAGAAAGCTATATGGTGATGAGATATTAGCTGTTCCATGTCAGTGTTTACTTGTATATTTGCAGAGTGCAACCTTATCCCAAAAGATAGTTGTCTGGCCCAAAGTCTTTGGATGCAGCAACTTTAAAATACTATGAAGAAAGTTTTAGCACGAAGAGTCAATGTGGACATAAAGCTTGCTTTTAAACTGCCTAGATGAGCTTACCTTTAACATACTGATCCCATTGTTTTCTGAAAGCTAAGTCCATATAGACATCCACACACAGTTTTGGGGGACAGTCAGCAAGACCACCGAAGATTTTATACTCATAAAGTCCTGATTGCTGTGGAAACAGAATGGAGAAAGGAAAACTCACACAGGAAAGGGAAGTACACTGCAGCAGGGAGAACAGCTGAAGGAAGTTAGGTGGAGCCCATACTACAAATATGCTCAAGAGCTGTGAAAGCAAGTATTCAAAAAACAATGCACAATTCAGTCTTTAACCTCTCAACTTTTTGATCTATACATGAAGTTTAAATCCAGCCAGGCTGATCTGCCCTGCACAATGGTTGTTCCTTCCCTTACACCAGTACCCTCTTACTTCATAAGTAGTTCTAAAGGGAGCATGTTTCTTCACTACACACTTCCCTTTTCATCTCCAGTGGTCAGTGTGGACTAAATCCTGCCCGCACTGAAGCTTACCAGAAGCATTAAATTCTTGTGGCAAGGTCTCCAGACCCTGTATAATGTGCTTAAGAATCTCAGCCATTTCCAGCAGGTTACCAAGTACTGCACCATCTGCAATAAGCTTTCCAGCAGGTTAGGTGTGCTTATACTTCAGGCTGTGATACGAGAATGCTTTACAATGCTCAGGCTTGCAAACAATGCACTATTATATCTGCCTTGAATATTTATCAGCTATTTTCTTTCTGAAAGCTGTCTGCACTGAAGGGGTGGGGTGCAGGATATCTCCTATGTTAACGCTTTTAATGTTACTCTCAACATATGGAAACACCATCTGTGCCTACAGAGCAATGTTTGGACTATTGTTAGTACCAGTTCAGGACTAAATTAAAACAATGACAGTATTTTGAACATAGAGTGTAGGAGTCAAATTCAAGCATTCCCAAGGAAAAGGAGGGAAGGATTATACAACATTCTGCTAGTGAATGGCTGATTTTTCTTCCTTGCCTCCCCTTAACAAATCAACCCTAGAAGATGAAGATTAGATGTACCGGAAGATAACAATGGGACCAAGAAGCTTAAGCTACTCATCTTCACTGTGGCTTCACTGAGGCACCAATCACTAGCTTCAAACCTGAACTGCTCAGCACCTGTGCAGCCCCACGCACTCCTATCATCTTTGTAAAAGGCATCAACATTTTTATTTTCACCAGAAAAACTAATTTTGAAAATATCACACCTGAAATTGAGCCGAGATCCAACAGCATATGCCAAAGCACACTGGTACTTCAGAAATAGTTGGTTTAGCTTAAATGCTATTTGTTTCCAGGTCACTAGTCAGAAACATGATGCGGATTATCTTGCATGTATGTATGTTTACATTAAGTGTCACATAAGGCAGGAGAACAGCAAACCACAATTCTCCTCACTCCTCTAGTAATTCAGAAAAAAAGTCTTACTTCCCCATGTCATGGGACTGCTCTTCCACTAAAGAAGAGAAGCCTTTGTATTCTTTTCCTGGACTTTGATTACGACTGCATCTTGAGAGGTAGCAAACCAAGCTCATCTGAAACTTTAATTCTGCAGTCAACATGCAAAACTAGCTGTTCATAAGCACACTCACCATTTCTTTGCATCCTTTAGCTTCCTCTTAATCTTTTTGATAGAAGAAAGCCATGAAGTAATTTTCTCATTTAAGCTAGCAGAGCTTGCCTCAAAGATTTTTCACAGAACTATGTGCTTTCTACCTTAGCGAGGACAGTTCCACACTTCCAGAGTAAAAGCTTTAGGACCACAAACTATTACATTGTATTGCTTGCTTCTAAAGCTTTTAGGTTTCACGCAATAGGCAGCTGGAAGTGCCTGTAATACTTTTTAATTGAGGATATCGAAAGATATGCATACAATATAGGTCTTTAAAGCATTTTTGCTACAGATAGAGCTCCATCAGAGGTTAAAATAGAGCTGTAGTGATGTCATTTACTGTCACATAATTCAGAAGTCACTAAATACAGACTGCAAGTGCTGTACGACCTAATCTCCTGACTTAGCACATGGGATTCTACCTTACATTCAAAGGTAGGCTCCTAGGTGGTTCACAATATCAGTTCAGTCATTCTTGCATCTGTAGCCTTCAAGTTCTTATACAGTAGCTCAAGACAGATCAAGAAATTATGCTGTTCTTCTCCACCAATCTACTTGTTTCACTGCTAGACAAATCTGGCATACATCATTAAATACCTTCTACTAAAAATGGTACTGTTTTGATAACAGTACGAAATAACAACTGATGATCTGAAAAGTGAACAGTACATCTTGCAGCAGGTAAGATGGACAAAGACATTCAATAAAAAACAATTTACAATAAGAAAGTTAAAACAAGAGTGAAATGTTGCAGGTTTTCAGAGGCCTATCAGCAGGAGAGTCAATCAGGGGGTTGGAATACAGCACAGAGCAGGAAAGCCCAGGAGATCTATTTGTGTAGCCTGCAGAGAAGGTGGAAAGAGAAGGCAACAGGAAACACAATTGCTGCCTTCAGCTTCCTGGACTACCATTGCTATAGTGGACTTGCGGTTCAATAAGTATTAAAAGCCGATTTTTCAAGTAACAACTTTAAGCAAAGACCCTCCTCCTAGACTTGGTTCTTCTTCTCATGTGGCAACTTGAAGCAACTGGAAGACAAAACAAACAAGAGACTTATTTCCCAGCAGAATCAGAAGACTGGACTTGAAAAGGTCCCTTGCATCCTACTTAGTCACTCCATCTAGCCTAAATTAGGGTCATTGTACAATATCGAAGGGAGTAAGTGGGTTGTTGTGGTGAGAGAGGGGGGGGGGGGGGGGGGGGAACCAAACAGCTCTAAATATTTTTTAGTCAGCTCAATAGTCCTTCTATATAAAAGCACGAGAAGCAGAAGCCTGAGCTACTTTCTCTCTAGCCCGCTAAATGTATACAATAGCAGCAAAGCCACAGCACCACAGGCTGCCCCAATACACGTTGCATGATGGACCCTGGTCCCATTTGTTTGGTTAAATCCAGTCTCCAACTTCCCAAAAGCTCTAAATATTTTTTAGTCAGCTCAATAGTCCTTCTATATAAAAGCACGAGAAGCAGAAGCCTGAGCTACTTTCTCTCTAGCCCGCTAAATGTATACAATAGCAGCAAAGCCACAGCACCACAGGCTGCCCCAATACACGTTGCATGATGGACCCTGGTCCCATTTGTTTGGTTAAATCCAGTCTCCAACTTCCCAAAGTTACTTTGCCTTCATTCACTGCGCGATGCATTTACAGGTCTGTGAGGAGCTCCAGTCCTTGTTTCTATTTCATCCACTCCAGAAGCAAGACTCCTAGTACCCTCTATTTCATCAGCAGATCTAACTCCTGAGTAGATACCTGGCAGACACCACAAGCTCACCTTTGCTGTGTGCACTCATTGAGAAGCTTGTCTTGCTATTGCCAGTTACCATGTCCATGCTGTAAACAGGGACTATTTACCACCCAAAATTCTGAGGTGTACAAAGTGACTTTTTTTATAACAAAACTTTTCCTACCCTGTCTTGCCTTTCACACAGATCTATACGTTTGCTTTATTTGCTATTTCTTCTAACATGATCATGCCTGAAATGATTTCTCAGAATACAAATACAAAATTTTCAAGCAAAGCACAGCATGATGTCCAGCTTTATCAGGAGTTGAGAGGTAACTATGATTACGGAGCTAAAGAAATAGGGTATTTATATGGATTCAAAAGTCATTATTAAATCTTAAATCTGCAGGAGAACAGAAACACCCACTACATTAATCACTTACAAGTCAGTTCTGGAAGCCTAAACTTTTGAACTTCTTAAAAGAAGTCAGTCCCCCCGAAAAGGGGGGAATTTCATTCCAACCCTTTCTGAACTACCTCCTGATAGGAGAAAGGGAGAAGGAAGGGAGGTAGGAGCCTGCAGACCAGGAGGATGCTCTAACACAGGAGGTGCCCTGTGTGTGCAGGGACAGGTCTCTCCACCACACGTATCCCTCAGAGAGGGCCCGGCACAGAAGTGGGACATGCAGAGCAAACGCCCCGTTAGACCCACGACAGCTTCTGTCGCCGAGAGCACCTTCCCCCAGGAATTTCTCCAGCCACCAGCTGTTAACAACCTTTAAGAGCCTCTCAGTTTGCAGGTTCCCCCAGCAGTTTATAACAGCGGTGTTTACTGCAGCAGAGCAGCTTTCTCCATCAGCAGTTAATAGCATTACCCTACAAGCTGCTTTCTGGGAGCCTAGAGAAACTGAGCCGAGGCCGGTAGCGCCTGGACGGGCAGCGGACTTCAGCCTGACCTGTGCGGGGAACCGGCGGCTCTGGACGGGGAGATGCCTGCGCTCCCCTGTCCCCGGCAGCCAGGCGCC